CATTGGCACGGTTATTGGTGTACACCATTTTGGTTCCCACTACTTTTTGGTGGAGTTATGGTCATTTCTGGTGTACGGAGGGATAGAAGAGGTGGCGTATCCTGCTGATTGATTCCGACAAGAATCTCAATCAACAGAGGTGATACGCCATGAACCATTCTATCCTCAGCGCCCTGCCACAACCAGAGGCCAATCCCCATGACCCGCTCACCGAGTTGCTGCGTCTGGGGGCCAGGGAGCTCATTGCCCAAGCGGTAGAGGCTGAGTTGCAAGCGCTCCTTGATATACATGTCCAGCGTCGCTTACCTGATGGCCGCCAGGCTGTGGTGCGCAACGGCTATCTGCCTGAACGCACCATCCAGACCGGCATTGGCGATGTGGATATCAAAGTACCTAAGGTGCGCGACCGCAGTGGCAGTGGTATCCACTTTACCAGCGCACTGCTGCCGCCCTATCTCAAGCGGACCGGTAGCGTCGAGGCCCTGTTGCCTTGGCTCTACCTCAAAGGCATTTCCACCGGGGATTATCAGGACGCGCTCTGTGCGCTCTTGGGTGACCAGGCCAGGGGGCTCTCGGCCAACACCATCTGTCGACTCAAGGAGAGTTGGTGCGACGAGCACAAGGAGTGGAGCCAGCGAGACCTTGGCAAGCGTCGTTATGTCTACTGGTGGGTCGATGGGATATACAGCAACGTGCGCATGGATGACCGGGTGTGTTTGCTGGTCATCATTGGGGTGACTGAGCATGGGCACAAAGAGCTGGTCGCCGTTGAGGATGGCTATCGGGAGTCTGAGGCAAGCTGGACCGAGTTGCTCATGGGGCTGCGAGGTCGGGGGCTGACAACCGGCCCCAGACTGGCCACCGGTGACGGGGCGTTGGGATTTTGGAAGGCGCTGGCCAAGTGCTATCCGGATACCGCACATCAGCGGTGCTGGGTGCACAAAACGGCAAACGTGCTGTCGGTACTGCCCAAATCAGTGCAGCCCAAGGTCAAGGAAGCCCTGCATGATATCTGGATGGCCGAGACCAGGGAGGATGCCAACAAGGCGTTTGACCGCACAGTAACGCGCTTCCAAGCAAAGTATCCGGGGGCCATGGAGAAGCTGGTCAAAGACCGGGATGAGCTGCTGGCGTTCTATGATTTCCCGGCAGAGCACTGGGTCAGTATCCGGACAACCAACCCGATAGAATCGACCTTTTCGACGGTCAGATTGCGCACCAAGCGAGCCAGAAACTGTGGGTCACGGGAGACCACCCTGGCCATGGTTTATAAACTGCTGGAGTCAGCGCAGAAAGGCTGGAAGCGGCTCAAGGGATTTGCGCTGCTGACGTTGGTGGTAAACAACGTGAAGTTCCAGGACGGAGTACGGGTAGAGGAAGCGTCAGACAGGAACGCCGCCTGACCTCATACACCACATTTGACAAT